AACCTTAACTTGCATTTCAAATTTCAAGTTTTTAGCTCCATCCTTTCACAACCTACGAAATTGTACCCAATTTAGTACATTTCAGTACTTTTCCGATACTTATAGTTCGAATTTCCAAAAAGTCCTTTGCTACATCTATTCTACACTTCATCAACGACCACCAAACCAAATTTCAGAGTTCTAGCTCACCGGTTCGCCAAATACAAATGGTATCACATTTAGTACTTTTTAGTACTTTTCGTACCATTCTAGTACGAATTTCCAAAAACCCAGCCTTATCTGTCACCTTTGGACCAAGGGTGACCCTCACCCAAAATTTCAAGATTCTAGCTTCAGCCATTTCGTCTGGGCGTTGATGAATCCTTAAATGAGTCAGTCAGTCAATCACTTTACTCTTTTATTAGTATAGATTAGTACCTTTTTGTACTTTTCGTACCGTTCTAGTACGAATTTCCAAAAACCCAGCCTTATCTGTCACCTTTGGACCAAGGGTGACCCTCACCCAAAATTTCAAGATTCTAGCTTCAACCGTTTCGTCTGGGCGTTGACGAATCGTTAAATCAGTCAGTCAGTCAATCACTTTACCCTTTTTATACCCTCCACCATAGTATGGAGGGTATATTAGTTTTGTTTTTCCGTTTGTAACGCATCCAAATAATCATTTCCGACCCTATAAAGTATATATATTCTTGATCAGCGTACAATTCTATGACGATCTAAGCATGTACGTCTGTCTGTCCGTCTGTTGTAATCACCCTAGCGTCTAAACGAGTTGAGATAGATCGCCAAAATTTTGCACAGAGTCGTCTTTTGTCTGCAGGCAGGTCAAGTTCGAAGATGGGATATATCGGTCCACGTTTAGGCATAGCTCCCATATAAGGGTACCCCCAATTTTTTTCAACCGTTTTCGCTTTCGTTTTTCAACCGAATTCGCTGAAATTTGATATATTGAGTCGCTATTGGGTTCCCAATTTCTCCACAAAAAATTATTCATATAGGTCCTCTAATTTTCAGTATTTTGGGGGTTTTGATCGTAGTTTTCAACCGAATTGGCTGAAATTTGGTATATTTGGTTCTTATTAGGTTCCAAATATCTCCACCAAAAATTATAAATATAGGTCCAATTTTTCTGGTAGCCCCCATATAAGGGTACCCCCCAAATATCGGTGTTTTGGGGTTCTTGAGCGCATTTTTCAACCGAATTCGCTGAAATTTGGTACATTTGGTTCTTATTGGGTTCCAAATATCTCCACCAAAAATTATTAATATAGGTCCAATTTTTGAGGTTCTTAAGCACGTTTTTTAACCGAATTCGCTGAAATTTTGTATTTTGTAGTCGTATATGGTAAAAAATTTCCCTACAAAAAAATATTAATATGCACCCCCTTTTTGGGGTAGTCCCCATATAAACCCCTTTTTTATATTGAAATAGTTATGCAATTTGTTCTGCGTTTTGTGTTTGGTTTTAAGACTCTGTTGTTATCATATCACCAGCGGAGGATATTGAGATAAAAAACTAGAACGTAAGGTTCGATAATGAACTATAACCCGTATTTAGACCTAGCCCCTCTGTGGGAGGTACCAGAAGGAGTGGACCGATATTCCCCATCTTCGAAATTGAACTATGGTTGAAAGAAATAATAATTTCACCCTCATTATCCACAAAGCTGTGGGTATAATTGTCCATTAAAAATTTCTGAAATTTGTTTTATTGTTTTCATTTTGGTTTAAATAACCGGTTTGTGGAAATTTCGATATAGGTCCACTTTTTGTAATTTCCTATATTTTCATTTCAAGTACCTGTCAGTATATCTATGGTGGAGGGTATCCAAAGTTCGGCCCGGCCGAACTTAACGCTTTTTCACTTGTTTTACTATAGATTATTATGTCTCAATGACAAGCCCAATTTATTCTTAATTGCAATAAACGTGTTTTTTTCGATAAATTTTAATTTTTTGATTAAATATCTCCAATTTTTTACATTGCATTAACATTTTAATTTTAAATTAGCAAGAATATAAACCTTACTTTCCCCAGTTGAGATTTATTATAATTTTACAAAATCCCCTATAAGAATCCAAATTCCCAACTTTTCATTGAAATAAAAACACATTGTTTCTTTTATTTTTTTAATACTTTTTCAACTCTTCTGTAACACTGGTCGTTGTGACGATGAGTGTCATGCCACACGTCAAACGCCATTGTGTCAACAAGAAGGTATACAAAATGTTTATTTGCAAATTTGTTATTGTTTATTTGTTTGTTGTTGTTGTTTTTTTTTGTGGATTTTTCATTTGTTGTTGTAGTCTAAAATATAAATAATAGTAATAATTCATTAAAAAAATCTTGCATACAATTTGCTTCAAATTTGTTATCCTAAAATATGTGTAATCATATTTATAATTAATTTGTTGTTGCTTTTCATGTTGTTTTGTTTTTTTTTTTATATTTTTATATTATTTCAAATCTAATGTCACAGTTTAAAAATTGGAAAAAACCTAATTTGTTATTAATAATAATAATGATAATAATTAAAATTTGTTGATGATAATTGTAGCAATCAATAATAATAATTATAATGATATATTGTAGATCATAATGACAATGATAAACGTAATGATATTATTTAAGAAAAATAGTTATTTTTTCAATTTTTTTCTTTGTAATAAAAAAAGAAACAGAGAACAGTTACATACATACATAAAAGTTCCTTAGAAAAATAAGTAATACAAAAAAATACATTATGAGATTGTTAACAAAATGTGTTTCATTCAATAAACAAAATTTTAAGGAAGTCGAAGAAAAATAAATGTATTATAGCTTAACACATACATACATACACTCCTTTATAAGGTTGCATATTAATGATAAAAATTTACTTGATTTGATGTCTAGGCAAATTTATTTGCCGTGTGTAAGAGATTTGAAATTGTTCTTTTTTATAACCTAAATATATGAACGACGGTCTATGGGGTTGTTATTTTTTTGTTTAGATATTTTTTTCTTGTTTACTGGATCTGTAACAACCCGCTTGTATATGGAACTAGTTGTGAGCTAATTCCATAGAAAAATGATTTGTATATGACTTGTTTACTACCACTACCCACCATGAAAAAGTGGGTAGTGGTCGTTTGAGATCAAGGGTGGAGTCAATTGTCATTTTTCAATACAAGCGGCTAGTTTTTTGTTATTTTTTTCTGTATGTATGTGTGTATAATTTTGTTTATTTGTATGGTTTGATATTAATATTTTTTCGTATTTCATAACACATAGATAAATATTATTTGTTTGTATGTTGCTTTTGCTGCTGATATAAGTTTAGGGGAGGGAGGAGATTTAGTGAAATATGTGTGTTATTGTATCAGTGTATGTGTGTTACTTTTTTTAAACATTTTTTTCTTCCTTGCTTCTTTTTTTGTAGTATCTTACAATCTAAGAGATATTTTTGTATGTTTTTTGTATTTTTTATAATTTTTTTTTGTTTTGTTTGAAATGTTATTGGTTAAGATTACCTTTTTTGTTTTTGTTTTTATTTTTTTTATTTTTAAAAATTTTAAATTTTTGTTTCTTATTCTTTGTATTGTTTATTTGTTACTTTAAATTTGAAATTTGATATCAAGACGTTTTCACATATCGCAGTTAATTGGTTTTCAAGTTCACAATTTTGTGTTTTTGTTGTTTGTTTTTTTTTTATAATTTATTAAATTAATTAAGGACCTAACATTAAGCCAGTAATGCAGCCTTGAGTTTTTCTGATTTTGTATGTTTTTAATTTTCTTGTTTTGTTTTTAAGCCTAAATCACTAAAATTAGGTGAAAATTTTGAATTCCGAATTTTGCATTCATATCATTTCACTTTGTATTGTTAAACGGGCGGACAAACAAAGGGGACTGTTGTCTCCTTACATGGTATTGAACCCCTTTTTTCACATGGCCATGGGCCAGAGCTACAACATTTTCACATGTCATTTCAAGTATTGAAAATAGAAAAAAAAACAATTAATTGTTAACAAATTACAAAACGATGCTTATTGATATTCGAGTAATCTTAAAAAAAATACTTTGATTTTCATGTGAAAATATTGTTGTTGTTTTTGTTGTAATAATTAATTAATTTTTTAATAATAATAATATTCTTAACCTAAGCAACTTAATCAGTATCACATTTTAATGAGTTGGAGATCTTGGCAAATACTTCATTTCGTTTCCTTTGCTTTTTATCTTGGAAAGTTAGGGGTAAGTGTTTGTTAAAGGGGGTTTGTTTGAGAAAGGGCAAGGATATAAATGCAGGCATTTTTTGTAAAAATGTTGCAGTTTTTTTGTTGCAATTTTTATATTCATATCCCAAAAAGAAATCATAAATAATTTTGAAAATACTACTTTCTTGTGTGTTTGGAAAAAAAATTAAAGCAAAATAATATTTTTCTTTAAAGGAAATAAAATTAGAAGCTAAACAAAAAAAATATTTAACAATAAAAAATAATTAAAAAAAACATAAATAATTTATTAAAACCTAATTTGAACAAATGTTTGTTTGTGTGTGTCTGTTTGAAGTTACTTCCCTTGGTTTTCAGTGATAATGAGCTTTGAAAACCTCTTAACCTTCCGTGGTTGGAAACTGGAAACTGGAAAAAACTATAAATAATTACGAAACCAAAGAGAAAGAGGTTGGTTTTTTGACTTTTTGTTATGCATTCAAGTCAAGTCAAGTGGGTTGTTTGGTATTAATTTGTTTTTTGTTTTTAGTTTTTTTTTATAAAAAAATTATAGAAATCTAAAAAGGTGGGTGGTTCTTCTTTTTTTTTTATCATATAACTATACCATATATATGTACGTGTGTTACTAAGAGTAATATATGTTTGTATGTAGTTTTGGTCTTGAGTGAGTGTGTGTGTTTTTTTCTTAATGGGATCTGTGAATGGTGTTAATTTTTTTTTGTTTTAATTTTAAAAAAATAATATTGAAATATTATTTGATTCCTACCAAATATTTTTTGTTTCTTCTTCTACACATACATACATATATATCGTTTATAATCCAGTGTTAGATTTGATTATCACTGTGGTTGTGTGTGTGTGTGTGTCTAACACAAACTCTTGGAGTATGGCTTATGTTTGGTTATACTAAAGTCGGGACTTATTGTTATGGTGCGCGATAAATTCTTCATAAATTGTGGCAGCAACGATGTCCAGCCTCGATGATCCTGACGCAGTGTCACATAGATCTCATAGGCCTGAGCATCAACACCATAACGCTGTTGATTGAGATCAAGGGTGGCAATGCGCCGTGAATTGTTCGGTTCGTCTTCGAATTCAATATAAATGGTGCATTCGCGTAGACCGTGAGTTTCTTCACGGGCCAGACGTAAAATTTCCAACGCTATGCGTGGCGTGAGATCACAGGGTAGCGATACTTCAGTGCAGGCCAAATGGCGTGATTTGGCCGCACGTAACTCTTCCAAAAGGCGCAGCGATAGCTCCTGGACAGCGGCTGTTTGCAAAGCTGTTGTTGTATTGTTAGTTGTTGTGTTGTTGGTGGTGGTAGTATTATCACAGTTCAATTTGTTTGAGGAGTTGGAGGTGTTGTTTGTTTTATGTTGTTGTTGCTGCTGCTGTTGTTGCTGTTTGTTATTGCTAAAGTTATAGTTGATGCTACTGCTATTATTGTTGTTGCTGCTGCTATTAATATTGCCATGGTGTGAATGATTGATGTGATGGTGTGGCTTAAAGGGTGTTGTAAATTTATAGGAGGGTTGAGATTTCAACGAACCTCCTTGTGTGGGTGTGGACAATGTGAGTTGACTCTTCCAATCTGTAAAAAGATAATGGAATAATAAAAATATATTAATAAAAAATCTCAGAACGGAAATTGAAATATTGTTAAAAATTAAGGGAAAAGGTGAAACAAATTAAAAAAAAAATAAAGCAAAAATTTGGGCATTTAAATACTTTTAGAAAAGTTTTATGAATTTTTTAGATACTAATGAGGCTTGAAATGCATTTAATCTGAAACTATTTGATATTAATAGAGGTGCTAGATTTTGTGAAGATTGTGAGGCAGTCACAAATAAAATATACAAATTTTCTAAACGCCTTTATACAAAAAATCACCTTCTCTAAAACTCGTAAAATTCATAAGTATTTTTGTTGGAAATATAAATCCTACAAAATCCATCTCGTCCATTAAATACGTCTTGCCTACCTGAACAGGCAGGCAAGACTAAAGCGATTTTCCACAAAAAATCAAATCAAAACTTTTCTGCCGGCAATTTTGTGGCAATTAACTCAAAGAGAATGACTGAGCGAATGAGAGCGAAACTATATCCAAAAGATATTTAACTCCATATATCCATAAGATATACAATTTGAGAGACGGAATATTTTCTCTTTTTCTCAATTTATTTGTTAAAGCTCTTTTACTCAAAAGTAACAACAATTACGAAATGTAAAGACGAAAAAAAACACTGACTGAAAGTAAATGACCAACATTTATGTGAGCGAATGTAAATACAATAGGGGCCGGTTTGGCTGGGTTCCAGGCTAACTGGCAACAAAAACAAGAGATACCTACAAAAGACTGCCAGCAAGTTTGCCGCACTCCTCCTGCTCTTGGTTGGGCTCAAAAGAGAAGAGCTACAACATGAAATTATTGGTGTTAGCGGAAGACGACGAGATGTGTATGGAAGAGATGTAGGCTCGGAGCCACAAAGAGGCAACGGGTGGGAGGTAGGGAAATAAAATGACAACAGAAAAGTAAAGTGGAAAAACTTGTTTCCAGCTGATAGCACAGCTGGAAATCAGTTGTTTCTTGCATCAGCTCATATGTTTATGTGGGGCTGACTGGCTGTTTGTTTGTTTGTACGACTGGCTGGCAGGCAAGCCGACTGGCTGGCTGTCTGTCTCTCTGTCGGTTTGTTTATTTGCTATAGCCTACAAAATTATGGCCTAAACACTTAAACCTATCACCATCATCATGTCTGGGACAGAGGGTCGCAGGGACCGAACGAGAAACGAATCCATCCAGCAGATACATTTATTTGTGTATCTATCAGGGCACACAAACACCCACAAAAAGGGGTATGAACAACTTCCCTCATTCGATGATGATGGTGTGTACACGAGACAGAGAGAGATGAAGGCAAAACTAAAAGGGGTTTGCAAAGTAAAAAAAAACTTACCTGTAGCTAGAGCAAAATGAGCAGGATATTGATTTTGTACGGATAACACCTCCATCTTCATTTGTAGGCAATTTATTATTAGTAGAGTATAAAAACGAAGCAAATATTCTTTGAAGTATTTAACAAAATTAACTTGTTGTTGTTGGGGTTTTTTAAAAAATATCACAATTTTCATTAAGGTGGGCGGCAGAACTCCTTGCGGGATCTTTTGTCTGCCTTCCTGCCTTACTCTCTTTTAGTCCTTTTTACTTCCGACGACAAAAATACGGCACAATTTCTTTAGAAATGTCAAAACTTAAAACTTCATTCCGGACTATCTTCTCACATTAAAGTTTTTCTCCACTTGAGTCAATAGGTGGGTGGTTGATTTTCTTTTTGGTTTAATTTTTAATTTAACACTTTTTTAGTAGCATTGAGAAAAACTTTGTTGCACAAACGAAAAAGTTCTTAAGTTTTCTTTGACAAACTAATAATAGAAACGAAATATTATTTTTGTGTTTCTTGTGAGAAGATTTTAAATTTTGTAGCAAACGTTGTTCTTTTTCCTTTTTTTAATTGTAACAAATAAATTAACGAAACAAAAAGTCTGCTGTTGTAACAATTTCTGATGTGTGTAAGTGTATGTGTAATTTTTAATAATTATTTTGCTGTTGCTTTTTTTTGGCTTTGCCTTTACGGTTTCTGTTTAGTAGTTGTTTTTTTGGATGAAAAGTCTGATGAGGGTTTTTTGGTTTGAAAAGGCCGTTTTATTGTTGTTGATTTTGCTGAATATTTTATTGTGTGTTCAACAGCAGTGCTACGAAGCTACTATTCCGGCCGGTTAGTAGCGGCAGCCTTTTATAGCTGTTGCCAATCCTTTGCGCTCATAGCTGCTAGTACACAATTGACTCACTCAGTCGCGTACTCAAGTTGCACGTACGACCGACCATACAGGGGTTCTATGCACAACGCACACACACACTCTTTCACTCAACGAGACACTACCATTAGGCAAAGATGAAAACATACATACAGACATATTTATAATGATTGTATGTTTGTCATTAGTAACTAGTAGGGGGGATACACAAGTACTCATACATTTCGATGTTCGGATGGATGGATGGTTTGTTGGATATGAGCAAAACCACTCACAGAAAACAGCTGAGCAGTCCAATACTCACGTATACAAAAAATATTATTATTACTGGTGATTTCTTTTTGAAGCTGCTCTTTGAGCTGTATTTTCAATTCCCTTTTACAAGGGAAACACACACACTCGCGAGAGACAAAATTCGTACGTACATCTATCGAACGCTCGCATGGATATATTCATTTTGAGTTTATTTTACTTCATATTGTCGTTGTTGCTATTCGACTTGTTAGTATGTTTCCTGCCGGTAAATACACAACTACCAACCATTCCAGCTAAAAGATTCGCAACAAAAGCAATCTACCATTCCCGAAATTCGGATACATTGTTTTTCGTGTTTCGTTTTTTTTTTCTTTTTTACACATAAAGAATAATGTTCAAATATAATGCGAGAGGCTTTGGAAAAGTGTCCATTGTGCAAATTAGGGATTTTGTTATAAATCGACAACTGATGTAAAGGGATTTTTCTCGGTTTTCTTTTTGAGCAAAAATTAATTTTTTTAATTCCTTGAAAACAAATCGAAATCTCAAAAAAAAAAAAATCCTCGAATGAAATTGTAGCCGATGTGCGAATATTGGAAAATAAAAGATATTTGTTCTGTTCCCGTACTGCAATAATATATTCATTCATCGTAGTAAAAAATAGTATATTATTGCAATTATGAAAAATAAAATACAATGACACTTTTTTCTATTTCGAATCTAGACTTTAATTTAATTTCTTGATTAGGATTTGAACTTCAAATTTTGTTTCTAATTTATATAAATTCATTTAAAAATCTTATTATTTAAAAACTGTCAATATTTGGAAATAATAAAATTCAAATTCATTTTGCATTTAAAATTTCGACTAACCGATACTAGTAAGAAATTTAGTAAATATTTTTTGCATAATAATGACAAATATATTGTCATCAATATGACAAATATTTCTCATCAATAACAGTTGTATTGGGTTTCAGTTTATATATTATTTTTTTCTTCAAGCCAAAACAATACTCGAAGCCCCTTTTCTGCTCCGAATGTAAGGTTTTAATTATGATGTATGCCTCAAAGAAAGTTAAGAATTTCAAGGAGTTTATTTATATACGTTAAATTGTACTTTTTATCATTATATATTCGTATTATGCGCCAATAAATTTATTAAAATTCACAAAACAATAAAATCCTTTTTCTTTTGGAAATATATGTTTTTTGTTCAACATATGTAATTTTAAGTGTGATAAGTGTGTCATATAAATTTTCGTTAGCATTTATGAGTATAATTTTGCCTTCGATTTAGATAAGATACAAATCTAAGACCTGGTTTCAACGGATTATTTTTCATATTGGGAAGTTCTTGTATTACTGCTTCTTTCTTGACGTGACGAACCTTTTCTATATAGAGCAAATATACGAAATAAAAATTAAAATCCTTCAAAAGCCTTCTTAGATAGGGTGTTTAAATTTTCACCAGATTTGCCTTTTGTTTATATGCAAGTCCCCATATATGGTACCCAAATCCCACCACAAAAGTATGTAACGCCACGGGGTCCTAGACCCACCTGTAGTAACCGATCTTCTTGAATTGCTGAGTCGATCTAGCTTTGTTTTTGGTAATGATCAAATGGACCGCAAACATTATTTTTATTTGCATAAAAATTTACTCCGGAAAAACAACCTTTGAAAAAATATAATTTGCATTTTAAATTAATTTCTAATATATCTATATATATAATAATATAATATATCTATATTTTGGAGCAAAGAAAATGTATACTAACGAATCAATTGAGAACGGCTGGACCGATTTGACTCAACATGGGTTTGAATTGTCGGTAATTGCAGTGAGAAGGTTTTTATGAAATAAAATTTTAAGAAAAATCCGCGAAAATCTCCCAAAATTATTTTAAAGGAAAGGCTGGACCGAATCTACTCCAAATTACTTTCAGTTGTCTGTTATTGAAGTGGAAAGATTTCAAAGAAGGAACATTTTGAGAAAAATCCGCGAAAATGTTGCAAAATATATGTTTAAGGAATTTTTCATTTCCACACATTTTCTTTATGATTTCATCCCTTCGGAGTTCTTTTTGGACATATTTTAGTCGAAAATTGTCAGCGTAAAATCTCTCTAAGCAATTGTCAATTATGGAAAATTCTCAAAATATGTTCATTTTCTACAATCAATTGGATTATCATTGATATTGTTATTTCACCACGTCGTAGTTGTTATTTTGAGATATTTTGGTCTAGATTTGGTAGCTTATCATTTCTTTAAGCCTTCATTTGTCAATTATTGGAAATTTTCAAAATATTCTTTTTTCAATTGTATTGACATTGTATTGAAACATCATCAAACCGTATGGGCCTTTTTTAATATGTTAGGCCAACTCTATGAGAAAAGTGGGTCAAAGTCTTTGCAAAATGGGGAGGGACCTGTATGTATGAGCGATATCAAAAATTGGTCCTAAATAGAAATGCTTCCGCAAAAATGTGTTGTACCCTTCAATATCCCGGAATGATATATTACATCTACTACATTGGGAATGGATATATTTTAGTATACTTAATATTAAATTAGAAGCAATTCTGTAGAATGTTGGGGGTAAAATGGGGGCTAACCTAAAAAGTGAAGCAAAATTGAACATTTTCAATACCAAATATCTTATGAGTAGTAGAAATTATGTGCAAACTCCAAAGTTCTATCTTAAATCGTGGAGGGTAGAAAAGGCTAACATTGTATTTGGCTACCGTTATATGGAAGTCTTCCAAATATTTTGGAAAAAATTAATTTAAATCCAAAAGCTTATGGAGGGTATAAAAAAACCTAAAATGTCGAAAATTTTACATCAACAATATTGCTAGGCAAGACAACGTTTGCCGGGCCCGCTAGTTGATGGATATAATAGGATATTCTAAAATATGGGAATATTTTAATATCCCATTTTCAAAAAGGCGCCATTTTTATTTTCATTCGTTATTTTAATTATTTTAAAGACATATGTATATGCACCTAAAAAGTAATATAAAAATATCCACTAGATCTAAACACCACGATAAATCATATGATATCAAAATCACAAATCTGTTCATCGCTTTCTAAATTACAGCAGCAGCAAAACAAAATTTGGTTTTTAATTTAATTTATTTTTTAATGCATTGTAAAATTTCGTGTTTTTGATAGGTTAGTTCCCTTAGTTCTAGTGGATGGATTTTCTCTAAAAATGTTTTATTTTATCCGGAAAATAAAAATGGCTGGCAAATGACAGATATAACAAATTCGCTGGAAGAATACAGTTTTTTAGGAATTTTATCGGACACAATTGCCACCTTTATCAAATTACTCAGACCGAAATATCTATCAAATTACTCAGATTCGCGCGCACAACAATAATTGATGGTTGGAAATTCCTGATTGTCAGTATCATCAATAAATCCAAAACTATTCAATTTTTCTCATTTACTTTAATAATTCCCGAGTTATAACATCGCTGAACCTGGGCTCAGTAATGTTAAAAATAGGTAATATTGCCCATATATATTCTAAAAATATTTTAAAAGATGGGGCAACTGTCACAAAAATTTGTACAAAATGTATGTCCATTCATAGTTATGTAGGTTATCATAAGGTTGGCCCCGTTTCGGAAAATTGTCTACCGGTATTTCCCGATCTAAGGATTGAGAACTCTATATTTCAAAATACCTATATGCTTGGTTACCTTGGTATGAGATTATACCAAATGTTGCAGGGTATGTGCACCAGTAGTCGGCACATTAATGATGCGCGTATTTACACCCTATACAAGTACAGGAGTACAGGGTATTATGTAGTTATTCATATGGTTAAAAAATGTAAAGAATACTAAGTTACTTTTGTCTATATATAGTCGATTATGTATGTCCGTCCGTACATGAATCGTTACAAACATAGCGCAGGTGACATTTATAATCTAAATGGAATGCAAATTCCACAACGCATTTATTTGAGCCAATAAATTGAATTTGGTGAAAATAAGTTCGAAAATAGTGATGTTAAAAAATAGGTAATATTGCCCATATATATTCTAAAAATATTTTAAAAGATGGGGCAACTGTCACAAAAATTTGTACAAAATGTATGTCCATTCATA